ATCTCGCGAGAGCGCGAGATTAGGCCACTCCGTGAACAAGATGGACTGATAGCCATCGAAAATTTGGAGGTTAGTATCCTTATCCTTCCAAAGTTGTCACTGATGAAAGAATTCACTAGGAACATGAAATACAGTTGTAGAACGCTAAAGTCCAATGTCTGGTGTGCTCTTGCAACATCGACAAAAGAAGTGCATCGAGAAGAAAGAAACGAGGAAAAGGAAAGGAAATATCATGTTACAACTGGTGGCGTTGAACCCGGATGATGAATAGAATCGTTTTCCTTATCCATTCTCTCTTCAATAAGCCCACACAGATGCAGTCATTCGTGCATTGCCAAGCATTGCCTTCTTAATACAGCATGGTGAATTTGCTTTCCTTTTTCTACAAAAGAGCTCGGTATGAGCTAGCTCCAGATATGCGACATACTAGTCGTCTTCTTTGTCTCTCGGTTGTTAGACCTTTAGGCGTTGCAACAACTTAAGATATTGTGTCAGGGGTTATCTCACTATAGGAATGTTCATAAACCGCCAGTAGACGATACACATATCCTGGTTAAATGGATAAACAACTAGAGTTCCACGATCTCATACCTTCGCCAAATGACTTTCTTTATGTTCCTCATTAATTATGCAAATTACATCCATATTTGCATAATTGTAATATCATTATGTCAAGAATCACTAAAGCTACCTACATACCGAAAATCACGACGATCCATTAATCGGTTCTTGAGTTATCCTCCTTTAAACATTTTTCGACAAACACCCCTGCAGTTCCAGAGCAAGCAGCTAGGGGGCTCAAACTTATGTCACTTTATCTCCAACACAAGAGCTATATACCATGTAAATTTTGTGACCCTAGCATGCCTGGATCATGAGATATCAAAACCGGAAGTTCTGCTGCAGTACCATGACAAGCCGCCAGGGGGCAAAAAATCTAATCAGTTCCAGGTCTCATCAAGACCTACCTACCTACCAAATATCAAGACAATCCATCCAGGCGTTCTCAAGTTATCGTGCTCACACACACACACACAGACACACGAACGCCCCTGAAAACATAACCTTCTCGGCGAAGGTAATCATAAAAGACGCAACAGTCCATAGCCGCCAGGGGCTAGTTATCTGATCTCTACATTTGTATGGATTGTGGCGACAACATACTCCAGGTGAACCTGATACTAGCTCACGCTGCTGGGAGTCATGGGACAATGCCAGAACGTCGCGAGATGTAAGGTCCCGTTCCACCCTATAGATATGAAGAGCATGGTGCCCATCTCTATTTCCATAGCCCTTGGGCGACACACAGTTGTGCAAGGCACTACAGCAGGGGGCTAGCCCGCTCGTAGTGCTGTGTGTTTGACCTTCCCACACTCTTTCCCATATGTGCTGAGTGCTAAGCAAAGGAAGAAGTGTGTACCATTTTTAAAGTCTTTGGTATGACCCGGCCGGGGTTCTCACGACCTCCCGGTTACAAAGCGAGCACTCTGCCAATTGAGTTACTTCACCGGTGTGTAACACCACAGAAATAGTGTTTGTGTTGTTTTTTCTCGCTGGTACGAAGTCAGGGAATTACCTGCTAGCAATATCATTGACAAAAACTGTTCATACTTAACCGTTACAAAAAAGTGAAACTATTACATCCTAGCGAATCAAGTTATAAGCTTCTATGAGCGGCACCAAACGGGTTGAATCTGTCAATGTATCTTTCTTGTGAAGAAGTAAATTCAAACGACAGGTACGTTTATGGTATCTATTGAATATGAATTAGCACCTGTATAAGGTGCAATAACTTCCTTATTTACTACAAATACAAGTTCAGTTAGCTCCTTGCCCTTGTTTAGTAACTTTTATCTGTGTTTAGAAAACAGACCTCCGCGCCAGGTGTGCATTCCACTGCCACACGATCGTAGCCTTTCTTTTAAAGCAACCGAGCAGCTAGTTTCCTTGTCATGGACTTATCGTATGCCGTTACAAAATATGTCTCATGAATATTAAATACTGGTAGATTGCAAAGTTGCTATTCACACAGGCACATACTGTGAATAACCTGCAAAAAAGTCTTACTAACAGGAAGCACAGGTCTGGAGTAACCGTCGATTTTGAGAACAGGTGTTCACCAACTTAACTCAGACGGTTGAGTGGTCGCCTTACCAAACATTCTACCAGTAGTGGAAAAAGTTACTTCTCTTGTTGCTCCCAACAATTGCGAGGCAGTTTCACCGTCCCAGGACTAGTACTGTGCCCAACATATGCTAAGAAGGCTAAATTTGGTTTCATATATGTAGTCCTGATGCTATTAGGATTTCTTTGAAACATTGTACACTAGTGCAAAACTGTAACCCTGAAATCACAAACACAAGAATCCAGCAGGATAAGAGTTAACAGGGATAATCTGTCGATAGCGAAGAATTCTTATGAACAGGCACGGGCTGTTATCGATAACCTATTCTCAGTGGAATCGTACACTCGGTAGCATGCAATACATTTTCTTAAAAAATGCGAATTGAACCGGTTTGGCAGACCAACACGCACATTTCCGCAACCCGCATCCATACGTGATAGTTCTTCCCACAGCCAACAGGACTAACATCTATCGGTACGTAGCACCGCATGTGAAACAGTCCGTTTGTTGAGTTTTATGTATTCACTTCTCGTGAAGTGTACTGTTAAACAAGTCAGAAGTCTTTACACACTTGCTATGTTTCGATGGGAAGGGGAACCAACTTGAGCTAGTTTTTACCAGAAAAAAAAGGGGAATATCTTATCAGAGGACTTCAGCAGGTCTATGTAAAGTTCGCACGTCCCCAGGGCATCTGATCTGTAAGTCTCAGTTGGAAAAGTTCCTACCTGCCTGTAGCATGTCAATGAAGAGCAATCTTAGCCACCACACGGCGGTCCTGTCTCGGTAAATAGCCACCGTCCACGACTGGTTCCCCTGGCCGCTTGATAGGTACATGAATAGTGAAAAACCCCGCCCCCTTTGGAATAGGAGTGCCCTTAAAGACGTGGCAAACTGGCATTGGTCAAATCAAAATGCCTTATAGTTATAGGTTTCAATAGGGGTAAAAAACTGGGCGTGCCCCTTAGATTTTGGGTCCATTGGCGGCTTGTTATGGTACTGCATGCAGCGGAGTTTTTGACATTTTTGTTTATATATTTTTGAAGGAGCGTATTGGTGAGAGAACGCACGTGTAAGTAACCTGTCGTGGGTAGCTTGACACGACCCGTTTCCGTCTTCGCCGAAAAATTACAAAATATGATAGTTAAAAAGCTCCTTTCTACACATCTAGTTTTTTTTTTCTTTTTTTCTTTTTTAATTGTTACACTCCAAATTAAAAACAGGATGTTTTTGCAGACGGCAAACAGTCACCTAGCACGGATCGGGCGCGCATCAAAGGAAGTGTTTATTTATCGTTTGATGTCCTCTTTAAAGTACATGCAAAGGAACTTGTCAAATTTTATTTTATTTAATGGCCTATGAAGGTAGGCTTTCAAAGGTTGAAAGTAACGTTGATATGAATATGTCGGTGGATTGAAATTTGGCGCGTAGCTATGACGCAATACCGTCCTTTGACCCCCAACACAAGTACGTACAGAATGACGTCAGTGGGGTTAAGGTCACTTTAATTTGCATACGGTTTTAGTTCCGCATGAAGCAGCCGAGTTAACGTCGCTTCACTTTTGCGTTTGATACACGCGACAAAACACAAACAAGTCACCGTACTGTGTCGTACACGACACCAGCAAGAACATACAGGGTGGAGGTATGTGACCTTACCATCAGGGAATAGCTATGTATAGCCAGTGTGTGTCTGTTGTGAATGAGCGGGGATCGACGAATCATTTTGAATAGACGACGCTGTTTTCTTAATGACAATACGTTTTTAGGTGGGGTCGTGTGGCGTGACGGTAGAGTGTTCGCTAAGAATCAAACGCAGGGGTCTCGGGTTCGAACCCTGCCATGCTACTAGTCAAGGAAAGGTACTTCACACGACATTCCCACATCACTCTGGTGAACATGATTATTGTATTGTCCCCTGTGTTGGTGGTGGCACTAAATTAAGTTTTGAAAATACTTGCGAGTGTGTCGTCGCCATATCTTGTGATTACATGTAGTCCACCACATACATACCTTACAACACTCACTCACGGGTTTGACGTTCCAAGATGCCCTAAATTAACCTAATCATTAAAATCAACGTAATTGCCTGGCACGTGCTTTTGAGCGGTGTCAAGTTTGCTAGCTTGTAGTAACAGTTAGGCCACACCGATTTAATTTTATGGATGACATCCTCTGAAGACCCCCAAATTAGTGCGCGCGGGCGAATAAAAAAAAAATTCCGGCCAAAAATAAAAATGCTAGTAAACCACAGGAATTCAAAGCTGGTATTGTGAATTCGCGACAGGATTAGCGACGTATATGACAATCCAGCACTAACTGGCTTTTTGCGGCATTTATGAATCGGTACTGTACTTATGTACTGAGTTCTTGAGTCGTGGAGCTTCGAATTCGATAGCCTTGGTGCTCGGCTCCGTTTTGTCGCTGACTACCATTGACTACCCAGGCCTAGAGCCAGGCCAGAGCCTCGGTGGAGGTGATCTTTTTTTTTTTTTTTAGGGCGACAGGCGAAAATCAATGCGAGCGCGGATGTCATCCATAAAATTAAATCAGTGTGGCCTTACTAGTTATGTGATCTAAGTACACGTGTCCTGTGTCCCGCTTTACCCTTCCAGCGAACACCGCATGATGCCGCTTCTACACATCGGTGTGTTTACTTGCTCGTTGAATTTGTAGGGTGAAGCCATACGAACGGTCGCTGTTTTGATTTACATCATACACATGCAAATTACTTGAAGACATATGCAAATTATTGGTAGGCAAATCAACCAACCGTCACCCGGGATCGACGATTATAAAGAAAAATTGTTGCCGAACCACTACGACCCACAGGTAACTCCTATGCTCGTTCTGTGTAGAGCCCCTGCCTTCTGGGTCTTTTTTTTATTCCAACTTGTAATCACCAGACGTGGTGACGGCACACTCAAGTTTTTTCAACTTACATTAATGCCGCCACCAACGCAGGGGACAAATACATGACAGGACAATACTCATTTTCACCTGAGCAAAGTGAGGAAAGTCGTGTAAAGTGCCTTTCCCAAGGGCACTAGATCGGTGGCATGTCAGGACTCGAACCCTGGACCTCTAGGTTCCGAGTTGCGCACTCTGCCTGTCTTTGTTTACCTGAGGTGACACCGAACCTCTTGAAGTGTTTTGTAACAAGTCACAATCATCCATTTAAAAAAATTATCCCCCATATTGACAATGTTTTTTTTAATCTGGATACAATTTAATACATTTAAACAATTCAGACGTTTCCGATACCACCCGTCTTTCATCAGTGAAATGAATAGAAACTGTTTACTTACCATATAGAATATGGAACAGTAATATTTTACGTATTCACACACACTTATGAAAGACACCGGATTGTATCTGAAACATCAGTGAATCTCTAAAATGTATCTATTGTCATATTTCCCTTCCCTTGAAACCGACCCCCACATTATTAATCGATTATGGTGTTAATCAATTGTACTCTGCTCTAAATATATTTGATGTGTTGACACTATCCTCTCTTATATATTAAGCATGATGGCTCAGACGGCTGCCTTGCTGTGGCGACAAGTGAGACCGTTGCAGACCGGGAGACTAGCGGCGGCGGCTACAACTCCACTCCGCCTGCGGTCCGGACACCGGCGGGGGATGGCGACAGCTGCGGAGGCAACAAAAGATGAGGTGAGCTGGTAGCGTGTTTTATTCAGACCCTTTTAGCCTTTACCACTCTTCGGGAGGCGACTGGAAAGAGTAGAATTTGGCCAAATAGAGAGATAACATGCCAGGGGACTTGGTCCACCAGAGAGTACAGTTTTGGGTGCGGAATACTGTACTCTCCAGCGGACACCTCATCTGGCATGTTATCTCTCTTTTTGGTCAATGTATGCTCTGTTTTCAGCCACCTCCCGAAGCCCGGTAGAGGCTAAGGCCGCTTTTTCCCAGTAGGATAAAATTATCCGGATTGAGCCAAATAGATTGGCTTCATATGGACTGCGGGCATAAACTACAGGTTTATGTTTATGGAAAGTCTACAAGCAAACTTAAGAAGTTGATTAGCTAAAACTGAATTGAAATAGAAAACAGAATTTGTTTGAAAATGATGATTCTGGATCATGATGTCATAGCTACCTAGGTTTGTCGGTGCGACATGACAAAGAATATGCATGGGCAGGTGCATACTTCCTCCGTCCTAACAACTTTTTTTTTCATTCATTGTCATGAATAAGCCAGGAAAATTAACTGTGGCACCTTCATTTGTTTCATTATTACGTTGCCCCATATAGGAGAGGTTCCACTGGAAGGACCTACCCTGGCAGGCCATCTCTATAGGTGTAGGAATCGGAACCTTGTTGTACAAGACCCGCAAGAGCGAAGAGTTGGAGCTTCGCAGGAACAACCTGGCGTACGTCAACAGCCAACTCTCCCAGCTGTACGGTCCTCTGTACGGCAACAGGCTGGCCAATCACAGGAGCTACAAGGAGGCTCTCCAGGGTCACGACAACCTGGTGAAATTTCTCCGGGAAGCCGAGAGAAAATGGCGGGACCCGGACACAACGGATGAAGGGGTACGGTTGTTGACGAGATGGCGCAAGTTTCTGTTTTACGTCATGCATCCGCTGGATCTGAAGGCTGAGGAAATCATACGTGACAACGCACATCTGTTTGAGCACGGAGTTGAGGAGGCCGACCTCTTTCGGAAGTTCGTCTTCCACGTCAACTACGAGAAGATGATCGTGGCCAACTGGCAGGAGAAGGGGGAGGTCCTCGGCAGCAAGGAAGTCTTCGAGGAAAGGGATTTCTCCCGAGAAACCAACGCTGGGAAGTCTGACCTGGAGACTTTTGACATGTTTGGTCAAGTCGTTGAACATGTGAAGGAAACGTACGAAAAACTCGTGGAAAGGAAAAAGTCCCTGATGCGAGAAATAGAGGAAAGGGGCGGGCACTAAGTTGAGGATCACTGCATGAGAACTTGGTTTACAGAAGGCTTTAAAGTGGTGCGGGTTTGGTCCCCGTTGCAGCTTGTTCTGGAACTGCAGGGGACTTTCTGGTGAATTCTTTTAAAGCCTAAAACGTTAAGTCCAGATAGGCACAACTTATTTTCATTTTTGGTATGTAAGTAGCTGAAAGAGAAATGTACATAATTAGATGCAAATTATGCAAATGACAACTTAATTTGCATGAGTAAGGAGAGATCTAGAATTCTATAAGGTTTCTTTACGTATTCGTAGCAATTTGACACCCTCAGACCGACGGGCTGTCATTTCTTCGGCATAAAGGCAGGTCGGAAGGGCACCCCTTTCAACTCTTCCGGTTGAAAGGGGTGCTGTGCCGCTTATCAATAGACTTGATTGATATTTTGTGCGCACAATTTATTTAGGGGTGAATAAGGCTTAGAAAAGTACATTTTTAAGTAAGGGGTCATTTTTTCGTCATTTTTAACCATGGCTGCATGGAAAAAAATGAATTTTCCCTGGGTAACGGCTTAGTACTCGAAGAAGCTCAGTACAATGTTTCCGAAATTTGAATTTAATTAAAATCGATGCGATACGTTTACCGCTATCTTCGATGGCCCGAACACGCCCACAACGCATATAGAACGCACCATCCCGGGGATCAGATGAAAAAGCCATATAACCATCCGCGCGGACTAATACCTGGAAGTCTTCGCTGGACCACCAACATTACAACACCCATAAAGGCTGAAACTAGCAGGCTTTTCAGAAAATGTGTACACAGATATTACGCTATCAGGGATATCGCGGCCAAAACATACGAAACAAAGTCACGTTTCCGGAGATTTACTGCGCACTTACTTAGATTCAGATTTAAACTCCGACCCGGAACCATAATTACAGTGTTTTATATATAGTACTTTTATACATGTTACCTATTTAATCTATGGCACGTGAAACATCAACAGATATCAATTATGCAAATTATGGCCTAAGTTGGGGTTTGGTGGTCTACGAGTGGGGTGTGGGGAAGAGCAGGGTGGTCTACCAGTGGGGTGTGGGGAAGAGCAGGGTGGTCTACCAGTGGGGTGTGGGGAAGAGCAGGGTGGTCTACCAGTGGGGTGTGGGGAAGAGCAGGGTGGTCTACCAGTGGGATGTGGGGAAGAGCAGGGTGGTCTACCAGTGGGGTGTGGGGAAGAGCAGGGTGGTCTACCAGTGGGGTGTGGGGAAGAGCAGGGTGGTCTACCAGTGGGGTGTGGGGAAGAGCAGGGTGGTCTACCAGTGGGGTGTGGGGAAGAGCAGGGTGGTCTACGAGTGGGGTGGAAGTGTAGGTGGATGGGGTTGTAGGGCAGACACCACATTTGCGTTGCGCAGTAGAGGTCAAAAATACCTTTAAAAATCCTTTTTTCTCTTGAAAGTTTTGGTCCATTTTGGAGATTTCTGGGCTGGAAGGCGCAGGTAGGGTCCAAACTTTCCTATATTGGTCAAGTTTCGTTTATTTCACCAGTTTAGTGGGCGTAGTGAGAGATGTGAGTGGTTAGGTCTTGTCTGGCCAGGCGGATGGATACCATGGAAAATGTAGGTCAAAGTTGAGGTTTTGTTACTATCATCAGCTGTGGCCGGAATTTGAGCTGGTCAACCCCCTGTTTCCTTTCTACTTTTGGGAATCAGACCCTTGTTGCTACCTGATGCAGAAAAAATTTTGAGATTGAAGTATGGGCAAGTACTTTGATGAGGACTTCAAATAGTGTGGAAAATTTCCCTGAAGACATGTTGGCCCCGAAAGCAAGAAGACAGCCTGTATACTGACACTAGCAACAGTCTGGCACCCAGGCTAGTCAAAGAGAAGTTTTAGGAAATACCCTTACTGCCCAACCAGTTTCAGCCCCTACAAGTACCTGTACTTCCTCTGTGGTTTAGGAGTGACTGCTTTGTAGAACATCTCCACCAGGTGAGCCTTGTCTAGACTCTGGTTACCATGGTGATGCTTCAGGACTAATCTCTGTAGACAAGACAATGACATCTGGATTTGCAACACTACACAGTACACTGTGATTACGACACATGTGCACTGTACAGTAAAGCTTGTGTATAATTTCGCATTCTGGTGACTTTTATTTCTGTTCCAGTGTCACAGCTGGTTAAGAGATTAAAACAGTGAAGTATGATTCAGATGACGAGAAAATAACGCAAAGAATTCCACAGTAAAATCCTTGTAGAAATCCGGTGTTGGAACAGGTGCGTTCTGTCCTTGGTGCTGGTCTCTGTGTGCGCCCGTTTGTACCGTACACTGCAGAAGAAATGCCGGCTTCGGCACGGACACACTATGCAATAAATACATACATGTATGTCATGTGTGCGATGGGAGCAACGTTTAAAACATCAATTTGTATCTATAATATGACCACACAATAGAATAAAATATGTGAGTTCATCTAAAAAGATAGAAGACATTTGAATGACTTTAGATAGAATGTACCGTTATTGTGAGAATGTTAGTACTAGAATGATCGTTAAAAAGCTCCTTTCTATACATCTAGTTATCTTTTTTTTCTTTTGTTACACCCCAAATTAAAAACAGGATGTTTTTGCAGATGGCAAACAGCTAGTTACCTAGCAGTGATCGTGCGCCCATGAAAGGAAGTATTTATCGTTTGATGTCCTCTTAAAGTACATGCAAAGGAACTTGTCAAATTTTACTTAGTCTTTGAAGGTTAGCTTTCAAAGGCTGACAGTACCGTTAATATGAATATGTCGGTGGATTGAAATTTGGCGCGTAGCTATGACGCAATATTACCGTCCTTTGACCCGAACGCAAGTACAGAATGACGTCATGGGTTAAGGTCACTAATTTGCATACGGTTTTAGTTCCGCATGAAGCAGCGCCGTTTCACTTTACCGTTACTTTACACACGACAAAACCCAAACAAGTCACCATACTGTGTACAGGGTGGAGGTATGTGAGCTTGTGGAATCGCTATGTATTACCTGTGTGTGTCTCTGGCGCCGGCGAGGATCGACGAATCATAATTTTGAGTCCGACGTTGTTATCTTCGTTATGTACAATACGATTTTAGGTGGGGTCGTGTGGCGAAAAGGTGGAACCAAGAGGTCCCAGGTTCGAACCATGCGTGCCATGCCAACGATATTGTGGCGCCCTTTAGAAAGGCACTTTACACGACTTTCTTTCCCTCACTCAGGTGAACATGAGTATTGTATCGTCACCAGTCGAGTGTGCCGTTATCACGTCTTGTGATTACATGTTGGGTTTGAAGTCCACAACAACTTTTCAACACTCAAGATATCGACTACTAGAAACAAACTAGGTCCTACTTCATCACTGGGGTTTTACCAGTTACTAAATGCCCTAAATTAGCGTAATCATTAGAATCAACGTAATAATCAGGTATAACGTTACATGCTTTTGAGCGGCGTCAAGTTTGCTTGTCACCATGTGTACACCTGTCCTGTGTCCCGTTTTACCCTTCCAGCGTACACCGCATGATGTCGCTTCTAGTACACATTGTGTTTACTTTCTTGTTAAAGCCATGGAATGTCTGAAAGGTAACGCTGTGCAGAGAGACGATTACAAAGAAAAAAATTGTTGCTGAACCACCAAGATAACTCCAAAGCTTGTTCTTTGCAGAGCCCCTCCCACTTATGTATTTGTTTACCCGATAAGACACTAAATCCCTTATTTGAATTGACATGTCCGTTACTCCGCCTCTTGTAAACCCATTGTACTACCCTGCTCTAAATATATTTCACGCGTTAGTGCTAGTCTCCACTAGACTCCTTTGCAGGCTGAATGAATAGTAGAAATCGGCTAAGGGGGACATCATTGCCTGTGCAGGCAAGCTGGACCCTCCGTGGCTCAGGCCAACTTCTCTGGCCAATGATGTCCCCCTTAGCCGATTTCTACT